GGGGCCCGCCCCGCGGCCGACGCCGGGTCCGGTCCTGCCCTCGGCGGCGGACGCGCTCGGGCCGCTCGCCGCGGCGCTGACCCCGCCCAGGCACGGTGGGACTTCGGGCGCCTCGCAGCAGAGTTACTGGTGTCATTATTCGTTCTTCTAATTGGGTAAATGCCTGTCGGTAGCCCTCCCTGCTGTGGTGGTAGTAAAACGTGCCCGCCCATCTTCCTGCGAGGCCGGTGAGCAATTGGGAAGTGTCAATATCCACAGCTTGTGTCCGAGTCCCGCTTCAATTTACCTAGAAATGTTCTTTGAAAACGTCTCCTCTGTAACCCTCGCAAACAAGAAGCTGAATAAACTGGGGCAGCAGGGAAGAATCGCATCGCTAATCCTCAAAATCCTGGTCCTGCCATTTTGTGGGGAGCGTGACAGGCACAAGTAGTTTGTAATAGGGAGGGGAAAAAACACATCAAGTTTGCTTTATGTTCCCAAGTATCCAATTCGGCATCCATGGAGCTCCTTGTTATTAAAAACACAGAAAAGCAACACTTAAAACACTTAAGTACATACATGCTTTCAAAGGACCTACATGTAACACCAGCAATGTCTTGGTCCTTTCAAAGGATTATTCAAATAAAAGAGAATGATAATTACCAAGTGCCTTGGAAAGACAGAGACATTGTCAGCATACGGAAAATACGGATGGCACCCACTTGAATGCAGCCCCACGGCCTGTTCATTAGCACAGACTTCAGGTGGTCCACCCCGCACAGTGCTGAGGCCCAGCTCTAAGGTCTGGTCAGCCCTAACGCTCAACTATGGCTGGTTAATTGTCCTTTCTGATCACCATGCGTTAAACACATCAGCCTGTGAGAGTTGCCTACACACACGCTTTCTCCAAAAAACAGCTTGGATCCAGGCATTACAATGGGAGCTGAGGTCTGCAGACAAGAGAGGAACATGGGAAAGATGAATAAAAAGTGGCAAAAGCAAGCTCAGCAGAGAAGTTGAAACCCAAAGTACTGTCACATAAGCAATAGTTCATACTGCATGTGCCCTGCCACCCCTGTGAGTTCTTCCTCCAGCTCAAGCCATCCTTCCCTGCCACTTCTGCAACTCCTGGTACAAGCTGATCACTCACACCTCCATCTCTGCGGGTCCACGTAGTCAGGTTCACCTTTTCCCATAGTTTCCCACAGGGTGATAGGATTACATGAACACTGTTTCAAAGAGGGCATTTTTCTTGCCCTTCTCTAAGACCCACTGGACACACTTTAAAAGAAGTAGTTTTAACATCCCGGTGTTGAGCCAGACAATTGTGCATGTCAGGGAGCCACAAGGGCCAGCTGCATCCTACAGGAGAGGGAGCCTAGTGCCATAGCAGGGCTGGCAGGACAGGGGCTGGCCAGCCAGAGCCCAGTCTCCCAATACTCGAACAAGGCAGGCAGGCCTGGGGATGGCAGTCAGGACCGAGCAGGAGTCCAGACTGCCAAAAAACTTCATGGCGATGAGGCAGCTCCGAGGTCAAGCCAGAAAAGCAATCCACAGGTCAGCTCCCATGATGGTAACTGGGGCCAGACACAGCAGTTACCAGGCAGGTCCACGGTGACGTGGCAAACTCAAACCAGGATGACAGCCCACAGGTCACAGTCCAGAGCAACAGAAACCAGTGACAAGCACTTCTCTAATGGAGCTCAGGCAGGGCCTGATGGTCCACGGCTGAGCCTAAATGGAACCCCGGGGCCCATGGACAGGGGTGTGCGTGGAGGCCCCAGGCGAGGTCCGTCTGGGTCATTAAGGCCAGTTAGTGCTCCCAGGGCCCTGACAGTCTGTGCGGCATCCCTCTTCACCATTCTCATTATGAAACAATGCCAATGTCAAAAAAACACTGCCAGAGCTTATTTCTAGTGGATGCTTCCTGTTCAACACCAATTCTTATGAATTTAGGCTGTCTGAACTAAACAGCATCTTTGCACAAATTGCAGAACTTGGCACCAAGGTTGAAGAGGTTTGAGTTGCTAGGTAGTCAGGACTCAGAGCTTGGAAAGATTGTACAACTTCTACTGCACAGTCAAACAGTCTGCATTGTATCATTTACAGGTCCTTGCAGTTAAATCCCTCAGTTCCTGAACCCCAGGAAAACAACAGTTCTCCATCACAAATCCTTTATTTCCACTGTGTATTTCCATGTATATTTTGTCTCAAATACTTCTTTGTCATCTTCAATTTCTCTAGTTTTCTCCCTTGATTGTACTTTACAACCGCTTCTCTGTATTCGGTTTCTCAACACGCACTTTCAAAATTTTTGCCTTTACCCAATACTCAGATTTTTAAAGGTGTGGATTTTTATTAGAATTCTGGCAATTACCAAATCAGAATTTTAGCATTTTATTCTCCAGGTTACACAACTGGAAATAACTACATGGTATGTGAGAAGGTGGAGAGTCGAGTTTTGTATTTGTCCACAATTTGATACATTTCCTATGATATCACCCATTTTTCCTTATGGTTTTAAGATTTTATAAAAACATACTTGAGATTAAAAGGATATATTCTTTTACCAACAAAAATAATGAGGACATTTCTGGGTCAAAACATTGTACTCCTTTAGAAAAAGTACTGTTTATTCAGTACATTATTCAGTGCATGGAGCCCAAAGACACTCCTGCACTGTATACTCACAAATTTCAAGCTGTCGTTCATGTCTCCCACTACCCTGGATGACTTCTGTATGTAGTACAATTCACTGTCTTTATTAACCAGTTCATATTATACCAACTTTTCTTTGCATTTTCATTGCAGAGTACTGTATTCTCTCCCATGAATGCCCAGAATTTTCTAACAGCTTTGTAGTTAATTCTTCTAGTCATTCTGCCCCAGCTAAACATTTTAATGTTGGGGTTTTTTTTAAAACTAGTTTTGTTATTTAAGGTATATTGAGAATATCCCCCAGAAAACTGATACTTATATACATTTTTCATTTGCACAAATTCTTTGTTCTTTTTCTGAAGAGATGCAACTTGCCATTCTTCCTTCCTTTTCTGAAGAGATGCAAGTTGCCAACACCTATGTCTATCACTTACTATAGCAAGGTGACTCTTCTTCAAGGATGGACTGTCATGGGCAGATCTGCCATGGACGTGTAAAAATAAGACATACTCTATAGCTCCCTTTAAAAATTCATTTCATTATTAATCTGACAGGTTACCTGTTTTTTTAACTTCTAAATTCACTACTGTGCAGAATTTATTACTCCATTTAGGATACTGATGACAATCAGTGTTATCAGCACAATAAAATAAACACAGATTTAGTTCTGAGGTTAAACTCTGAGAAATGTATTCAGGTTACATCCTCTGTATCTCATCTTTGGGCACTGTCCTATGAACCCAAACCCCGTAACTTTGGGCTTGCTCTAGCATTTATTGAAGTAATGGAAAAACTTACCATCAGAGTTTATACTGGCTGAGAAGGCTGATTTGTAAAATACTGTCTAACATATGTGGAGTGCCAGGCTTCATCAGGATCTTTTACCTGTTGAGATATTGTGGTATTAGTATTAGTAGAACTTCTGAGAGAGAAACAACTTGGAGAGAAAAAAAAATGCATGAGGTTTCATTGAGAATATGGAAAGAATGGGGGTGGTAGTAGTGTAGTATTTGTACCACCCCTATGGAGGTTCAAAAACCAAAGCGCATCTTAAGAATTAGGCTTATAAAGGAGCCCTTACTTTTAGAAGATGTGCCAGGCCTTTCATATCGGTTGGCTGCTTTCTCTGCCTATTGCGTATTACCCTTGTTTAGCTGTACTACCTGACTAATAGGATAGCAGATGCCTTTTACCACCTTACATCTTTCCCCAAGTGGGTCATCTTTCATGTGGTGTGTGATGTGATGCCATGCAATGCATAAGTAGGTCTATCTGAGTAGATGATTACAGAAGAAGCCCGAGAATCTCACTGCTGTGGTCTTTAAGCCGTAACATTTTAAACTGCGACCATTAATATGGCTTAAAATAACAGATAATTCCACTTGTCCTTGCTCCGGATAATGCATCACGTACAAGGCTTGTTGTATCTGCAACCAACCACAAGGTGACATGCAATGCTTCCAAACAATTCTGTGAAGCCTGGCTAGTTAATTGTTTGGATGGTGATATACACAATAAAATTCCTAAATTATTATATGGTCAGTGGTCAACTTTAATGCTGACTGATGAATACTTGAAATTTCAGAAACAGAAGAAGCCTGACAGGAGGATGCAGTGGTTGCATCTTAAGATCGTAAGGACTGAAAATACTGTAAAACTTGTTTTCCTAAAAGCTTGGCAAAATAATTTTGTTTGCTGCACAATAGGTAAAGTACCCTTAAGAAAACTGCAGATAAGGTCACATGAGTGAGGCCATGGATGCATTATCAGTTGGAAGTAATGGAAATAGAAAAAATAGACTAAGAAAAAGGAGGAGGAAGAAGCAGGAAGTACTCATAGCTTTTCTACACAGGGAATTTATGTTGACAGAAACTATGAAAACAAGACCAAAAAGTCCACGTATTAAGCAGCATTTGCGTAAGGGAGGTTATGTAATGTGTGATCCTCAGTGAATGATTATCAGTGGCAGAACACCTCCACTAGGATTGCACTAATCTCCACTGTTAAACCTGGTTCACGAAATGGATGCTATATGGTGTTCTAATTTGCTTGGACACAACTGAAAGATCTAAACATGCAGAAATGTTGTTATTCTTAACAGTAACGTATTTACCTTCACAAAAAAGGTCTTATTCTGTAACCTTTTTTTTTACCTTTTGCATACAGGATTACAAAATATTTATAGAAACATGCTTTCTAAATGTATAATTCCACTGCATTGTAAAGCTAATATTTTATGAAAGAATAAGAAGTAGAGGG